TAAAATACGAATTCGAATATATAGTATTGGGAATTATATACTAAATTACGCACTGTTGTTTAATTAATTATAACAATCCACAATATAAAGTGTCTTTGCCTTTGGCATAATTTGGCACTGCTAGACGACCTTTGTCAAAGTATATGAAATATATTAATATTATTAAGATATGTTATCATTTTAATACTTGAAATATAAGTATTGATATGATATTTTCAGTGTGTTGAAAGCTGCAAATTGCAGCACATTATTTGCCCAAAATTCAAATTTGGGAATGGGTTAATGAGCTTCAGGTGTATAAAATGATATGTTTGTAAAGCTGGAATAAGCACTATAGTCACTAGCTAGTGCTGAGACAAAGCCTCAAATGTTGTCCTTGTACATTTTTAGATTAAATATTGCAGCTGGGCTATAGCCCGGCTCAAAATATTGTTCTCAACAGTTGGACATTTCTGGATTGAGTTGACGAACTGGTGTTGTGAGGTAAGTTTATTGCAATTGATACAGAATATCGTAGCCTTGCCTATAGCCAGACTAGTCTTAATTAGTGTTTTATATGAAGAAAATTACATACTGGTCTAGCTAAAGTGGCCCCCCAAGCCAGACAAATCAGTCTGGATCTTGTAAACACCCCTAAGCTGGGCAGTGGCAACTGGTATGTGTTTAATTGAGTTAATTAAGATTTATTTAATGTTAAATTTAGTATTTATGGGTTAACAGGACATAATGGCAGATGTCTTGTTAACCCATTAATGTTCAAGACTCGATCTTCACTTGACGAATGACATTGTCTGACAGAGTAAATACTAAATTTACACAGACGATGAGATAGAGTGAGCGTTAGACAGTAAATACTAAATTTGGGCATATGGGGTGCATGAAAGGGTTAATCCATTGAGCAAAACTGCTATCCCCTTGAAGAGTAAAGTTGTCTGGTGTTAGACAGAGTAAAATAATGAAGTAGGATGCAATGAAACTTAATGGGTAACATTTACTTATTTTTCATTTTTGTATAGTAATGCCATGCCTAACAGATATTGTTTCCAACTTGGAAGAGCAATTACAACTCTTGCAAAATGGCCAGTGTTCCTCTTCAAGACCATATGCATCAATGATGACCACAAGGATTAACAATGACGAACACAAGGATTAACAATATTGTGAAAAAAAGAAAGTATCTACACATAACAGTAACATTGACACTTATTCTAATAAAAATATTCACTAAATAGAGTAATCCTACAACAGTTTGACTAGCCCAATGTTTATTTTTATATTCTTGCATAGTTGTCTTGTTTTGTGGACAATATGCCACGTACATTGGTTCTGTTGGCAGCACTTAATTTTAATTTAAGCCTGGATATTTACATCTGTATATACATAATATTGAAATCCAGGCACATTGAAGTCTTTGCTGCAAAGTTTATGTAAGTGATATTCTCCACCAAATGAAATTGCTATAATTGTTTCCAGGCATGAGGCAGTTGTATCTTGCAGCTGCTGACTACTACTTTTTAAATACCCATTTCCTACTGTAGTTCAATGGTAGCTATAAACATATAATTCTGATCATGGTTAACTAGCTGTTTCACTAATGTTTAGTTAATAATTAAACAAGTTCTTTATACAATGGTAATTGTGTTTTAATAAATGTTTCTTAACTCATTAAGCGGCAAGCTGTTACAATGTTTCTACCCGCCTTAGCGCAAGCAATATGGCGAATATGTGATTGAATTCAAGAGCTTTCACCAAAATGGCAATATCTCAGAAACAGTTGCATAAAAAAATCTGATCTTTTCAACCAAACATTAGTGATATATGATTGACCAAATTTCGTTTAAATGACTTTGCATACCTACATATATCATTAGTTTTTTCAATGAGCATTTTTATTTGTAAAGCAGTGACACTTTGTTTTTCATGTCACTCATCACCTAAAGGGGCAATATCTCCATAAATTTATATAAAAACCAAAAAAAAAATCATTTACTAAATTAGTACATATCTATATTATAACCAATTTTCATCTTATGGGATATGAATTAGAAAACGATCAAAAATTATAAAAAATACTCATTTGCTTTTTTTGGGCAAGATATTTACAACATGAAATTTAGAACAGTAACTAAGTGTTCAAATTCAACAAAATGTGCAAGCCAAAACACAGTGCTTGTTCATCTTTGGAGTTTTTAATTACCTCAAATATATTTAAAAGGACATATGGTACTAGAATTTATTTATTTTCAATATAAACCAAGGATGGGAAGGTGAGAAAATAAGAATTTTCTGAGGTGTTTTTAACACAGACAATGACAGCCGACATTTTCAAAGGCAAATTGCGGTGACAAAACCAAAAGTTATTCACTTCTCTACTCAAAGCACTGAAAAACACCATAAAGAGAAAAACATTTTAAACATACATCAGGTAAGCCTTTTAGTTCAATTTTCTCATGTTTCTGTTTGGAAAGAACGGTTTTTAGCCAAAATTATTTTGCGCGCCAATGTAGGCTGCTATAAAATGTCAGACACGCGTTCTCTTTTGAAGTCTGGCTCTGAAAAACAATCGCTTTTTTTAGTTTGAAATAAGCTTTCATAAGGACTAATTGTGTAGAAATGTTATCTGTATGCTCAAATGAAAAAGATAACCTAATAGTCAGGTATTCAACATAGCTATAAAAGGGTGAAATAAGGACTTTCATCTTTGGTTGTTTGTCAGACATGAGAAACCACATTAGTGCCATTTTGTCGCGCATGCTATTTTATAAAATAAACACCTCAAAACCATAAACTTTTAGTTCAGAAAATAACAAAGTTTCCCATAGACATTATTAAAAATGTTCTAGTGAAGCGATTTCATGATAAATAAGTGAGCTATGGGCCCAAAAGAACTGCTGAACTATGTTTTTGTTAGGACTTCAATTTCATGGCTTCCCGCAAAGGAAGCCATTTCAGAGAGAAGCGGCATTTTGCAAGCAACGGTCGCGACCTATTTTTGATAGCTTTTCCTTCTGATTCAACGTGTAGTTACTAGAAAATGAGGTTGCATCAACATTATTATATGCTAAATCGATTTAAAGTTTTATGGGGATATAAAACCCAATAGAAAAAGCGTTTTAAAAGCTTTAGAACTCAAGTGCAGACTTTTTGAAAATTCGCACGCGGCCAGCAAGCGCACTAATTCAATACACTTATTTTAAACCACAATATGTCGTTTTAAGACTAAATTGATGAAAATAGATATAACAGTGATTTTGAAGTATCCTACTTACTTAGTGTAATTTAATACTCGAAGTATTCTTGCCAAAAAGGGCACGTACGCACATAGTAATTTAATCTGGTGTCGTTTGAAACATACTTTAGCTAAAATAACAACTTGAACAAGAAGACCAACAATGGGGTTACGAAAACAGTCGAAATTGTGCCCAAATTTGCATAAACAGTTTGTCTAAAAAGATAACTTTAAACTAGTAGGTTCAACCAACTTTAATGCGGTCGAATTTTGTGAGTGTTTGATCGCATATTTCTACTCAAAAATACCCTTAAAAATATCGTATCTGCTCACTTGAGTTCCGTGTTCATCTTTCTTGTGATTTCCGACTTCTATTTTTAATAAAGTTTGGAGAAATCCTCGTCTTTTTGGCTGAAAATCTCGCGGATGGTTCACAGAAGAACTTGGCCCCAAAACGTCAATACATTCGCTTTCCTTTCATGCCAAATTTTCGTTGTAAATGATTCAAAAACCTCTTCTTTCTTCGCTTTTAAAACTTGCTGTAAAACCATTCTTTGCAACAGTATCGCCATTGTTCATTATTTTTGAAAAACTAAGCTTTTAAACTTGAAAAACTTTGCGAGTTTTTGGCCGATTTTCTTGCATGATACACCGTTGAAAAGCTCGAATTTCACGTTCTATTTTCGTATCTGTTGCTAGGCAACCCGATAAACACGTGCTCAAATATCATGCCCGCAAGTTAAGGAGTCATGTTAGGGCGCATTCGGGCGCATTGCCGCTTACCCCCTTGCCAATCTCAGAGCGCATTCGGGCGCATTGCCGCTTAATGAGTTAATAGAAACTTTTATAAATCTTATAGAATCTAATACAGAATGTTATATAGAATATTCCATACATTCTATAGAATATTGTATAGAATTCAACTGAATGTTCCATAGAATATTCAGTAGAATATTCCATATAATATTCCATAGAACTTTCTATAGAATTTTTTATAGGGCATTCTATAGAATATTGTATAGAATTCAACTGAATGTCCAATAGAATATTGCATAGAATATCCCATAGAATAGGTTCCAAAATCCTTTAGAATATTTCATAGAATATTCTATAGAATTCAAATGAATATCCCATAGACTATCCCATAGAATATGCCATAGAATAGGTTCCAAAATCCTTTAGAATATTTCATAGAATATTCCATAGAATATTTCAATGTAATATTCTATAGAATATTTTCGTCCCAAGTTTTACCAAAATCCTTCTGGTGCTTACAGCAATATTATGCCCACAAAGTGCAACAAAAAATTGTAGCCAAAACATAAAAAAGAACAGTTATACTGCAATTGCAATAATTCCAATTCACAGCTCAATTTCTCCCCAATTCCCAGTCAGGCTATTTTCAAAATAAAATTGCACTTTAATTAAAGAAATGCAAGAATGTGAAAGAAACCAAATTGTTTACAGTGAAACTTTAAAGTGGGAAAGAGATAGGGTGGTAGAAATTTTGTTTAAAAAAGGGTGGGATAATGATTTTTCCGACTGCATTATACTTTCTCTTCGGCCCCCACCCCTGCCATAATAAATGACCGGTCCCTTAAGTACTAGATAAAACATGAGCATCCGATCTGTATCTGATATACAAACTCGAGCCGAAGGCGAGAGTTTGTATATCAGATACAGATCGGATGCGAATGAAGTACAGTATATGTAGTGACGTTAAGAGTGAAATCCGAACCTTTCTATATTATGTTTTGGTACTAGAACCTACCATCTTTTTTCTAAATTCCTCATCATCCAAACGAGAGCAGAATTCTGTGATTTCTTCCACCGTATCCAATGGACTCGGGAGAATATCATCCAGTAATTCTTTATCGTTTACTCCTCTAGTGGCACTCAACAGAACACGCAAAATGGATAATGTTTCATCATGTTTTTCAATAAGGGTGTCCAGTTTGGTGAGGACAGACCTTTGGAAGCCTAGGATAAATACAAAAAGTATTTAAGAAGTGTGCTAGTATACAATTACAGTAATTAAGGTTCTCAATGAGTTCAATGGTAAGCATATTTTCATGAGGTGAAAGATTTCCATTTAACAAGGCAAATCTGAATTGAATGGAACAGTCGACTTTTTACCCAATGAAAATATTCTTTCCATTGCAGTAATGAAATTGTCTATTATTAGTTTTATATATGACACGGAAAACACAATAAATTATTGTTATTTATTGAATAGCGACTTCAAAAACTGTGGTAGCAGGGAATTCATTTGTGGAACTGTTTTCGGGAGACACTTTGCAAATATTTTCAGTGTTTTAAGGCGAACTTGGAAAGTGTAATATTATATTTAAGTATGCTTAAAATAATACATTTATTTGCCCTGTAACAGAATGTCACACAACTACATACACACAGCTTCCACTCAAAAACTACAGGCCCTGTAGTTTTTGAAAAGTGGCTAATTGGAACAGTACCTTGCACGGTCCGTAAAATGGAAATTTGTATTTAATATGTGTCATAAATAGTCAATTAAATTACAATAATTTATTTCGGTGTTATATAACTTTTAATAAGTACAGCAATCAGTTATTTTTAATTTGATAACGTATGTCTGTCATACAACAAGTGCACATCAATAATCCATGTACAAGTATCTGAATGAAGAATGTGACATACAGTAGCTCCATCATGGGATCTGTAGATAATATCTGACTAACTGCTGCAGATATTACAGAACTTGTTGACTGCAGACTATCTCTTGCAGACAACTGGGACACAAAGGTTGGTGCTGGAGGCAGTAAAGGTGTCAAAACTGGTGTATTTTGTTCAGCAACAAAACTAAATCCTTCCTTCTTCTTTGATCCATTACTCTCGTTATCTTAACGGAATGAAAATAAAATGGACCAATTTAATCAAGCATTCCAAATCATTGTAAATCAAGACATCAGAATTGCTAAATGTTGTGTTAAAAATTAATGCTGTTGTGTTGAAAAGGTGTCCCAATAATTAGTACTTTTATTCATCAGCCTATGAATTACTTGGTCAGGAAATGTACAGTAAATGCAAATGCATCATCTAACTTTTAACACAAAATTAAACAATTGCAGTCATGATAAACTCGTGAACATGAATTCTTAACACGAACGTTTGCAAAATCTTTCTTGAAATTGATTTTATAATCAAACATGTGAAAATACAGAATAATTTACTAGAAATACATGCATGCAGCAACCCCTTGCCCTATATTCCGCGATTTTCCACAGTAAATCAATTCTTCTCATTTCTTCAAACAAAAATTGCTTCAAAGCTCATTGTGCGAAACGTGATTTTCCAAATATATGCTTTTGAAAATTGAAATCTTGCTTATCCTACAAACAGCCATATATATTTTCCTGGCAAACAGCCATATATATTTTTGAGATCAGTGAGGATGACCACCCATGGTTGGTGACCGATGAACTTTAGACTTGGCTAATGTTTCCCTTTCCCCGGGTGTAAATAGCCGGGGGGAATTAGTACCCTCGCACGCTCGGGGATAACATGAATTCCTATATCTATTATCTTTTGTGCTTATCAATATTTCGCTCAAGTTCTTGTCAAAGTAAGAAAAATGAATGTCAATTGTCACAATTTATATGGGAATTAGAAATCTGTCTATAGTATTGGCCATGGTTACACCAGGAAAGTTAAAATTCCCACACATTTAAATTCTGTGGTTTACTTAGAAAAACATCACCATGTAAACCTTATAAACAAACTTACTATCTGTGTCGTTATCACTATAATCAGGAAATTCTTCCAAACTAGTTTTGTTGCGGGGTCGTTTTTCTCGTGGAGCAGAATCTGAATCTTCATCAGCACTGCCACTGCTATCAACGTTGGACGTAGCAAGGGCTCTTTTTGCAATTTTATGTGCTCTTTTCAAGGTGGCTGCAATATCACAAAATGAATTTAAAAACATGTAAATAAAACTGTTAAATACTCAACTGGTGATGACTAATTACGGTACTTACTGTACAGTATCCAAAAATAACTTAACGTTTGTCTGGGACAAGGTAGGACTGCAGCATTATATTAAAACTATGAACACTACAGTGTCACACTAAGATTTACCTGCATATCCAAAAATTCTAACTTTATAACGTTGCCAGTTTTCCTTGTCAGGCATTTCCAGCTTTTTCACTTTTCTTTGTACATTAGTCCGGGGCCAATAGCAGATCAAATCCTTAAAATACATCAGGTTTAACCCTTTAAGTGGCTTTATTATTTTACTCTGTCTAACGCCAGACGATTTGGGTTAAATAACAAAACTTGTGCACAGTAATTATTTAAACACATCATAATATATGTAACCCACTATATGCAATGGCCAAATTACTTTCCTCTTCGTAAGCCAATTACAAAGATAATGACAACTTACCCCTTCAGAATGCTCTATCCAACTTTTAACAACAACTTCAACTGATTTTTCTTGGAGAAACTCCACAACTGCATAAGCATCAATTGACATCTAAGGTAGATAAACACATACTGTAAAGTGTTATTAATACCCACTTACCTTACCATTGTAACATATATACATTTCCTTTTGCAATCATGTGTTACTTTCTTAAGGCAAGAGTTACCTTTTACTATTAGTTGTTAGAGTGCAGAATAGCCATGAACAAAATATTTCCTGAACCAAGGTCAACTTTCATTGCCTTTTTCGTGAGTTTCTGTGACGAGAGAATTTTCATTGTTGTCCATCGACTATTAGCCTTGTGAATGCCAATGAGACGAGAGTCGCAGGGACTGGCAAAAAGAGGCTCAGTTTTCTCGTATATTCGGCAAAGTATTCCCATTCCCATGCGAGTTACCTGTACCTGCCCTTTCAACTATTTCACCACAAGATGAGTCATCCAACTGGAAAGCATTGTCTGGTGTCTTCAACAGTACCAGAATATTCGCTCATACGTTTGGCAATTTGAGCGATTGGGTTCCTTCCTGAGCGAACAAGCCTTTTTAACTTTTGCATGTAGTTTTCAAATGGGAAAGAACTGCATGCATCCAAGCTACCAAACTCCCCAACCACGTCAGCGAGATGAATCATGCTATGTACATTGTACACCAAGAACTCATCACCATACAAAAGCTTGCCCTGCTCAACAAAGTATTCCATCAACTGCTTAGCATAATCTTTATGAGACTGAGCTAAAGCAGGGGACACCAAAATTGAGCTAGCAACACTTAAAACCAAAAAGTGTTCTTATAGATCTGGTCTTAGTATACCACTCAAGGCAAGTTTACCTGTATACAAAAGAAACTACCTGAACTCTGTTGCCTTCCACCTGTCACTTTCTGCTAAACCTCTTGGCTTTCGTGCAAATACAGTGGGTACAAAAGGCTTCAGCTCTACCAATTTTTTGCTGACAGCTTCCACATGACCAGCCGACATTCTGACGTCACGTTTTCCCCTCATCCAGGCTAAAATCAATTTCCGCATAACTCCCAAACACAACTGGTGCATGTAGTCAATAGGAAATTTCTTTACCACATCAACTGGCAAATTACAAAAAGGACTAACACAATGATGATGTTCTTCGTTGACTTGTTGTCTGAAGGAAGCATCAGTTCTTAATTCAACATTTTTAATCTGGGGATATGTAACTCGGCCAACCCACAAGCCCTTCTGTGCACACTTGTCACAACCAAAATAGCCAGAGCACAACTTTGTGCCTTTTACGAGAGCTCTAGCTGGTGCATCACAAACAACACACCTGAGAGAAACAGAAAGTACCCTATCCCCATCTTGCACTCCATCTTTTAGAATATTATCCAAATCATTGATGAGTTCTTCTAAAAACTCTAAATCCTTAGGTTTGGAGGAACCACACGTCAAAACAACAGGAAAAACTATGATAGGTTTGACATTAACTATCGCACATAACACTGGCCATAAATTTGTGCTTGAACTTTTAAACAAGGGAAGGCCATCTACATTTAAAGAGATTTCGAGAGTATCCATTCCACGAACAGTTTCTGCTGGGTATCTCTTAAAATGGTGTAGCAACTGGGCAGCAAGTGGAAAATAAACATACTCCATTCCTGACTTTTTCTGAATGGAAATGCTTCTTGAGGTGTGCAACAATGTACGCGCACAAGCTGGCAAATCTGGATGACCATTAGTTCTTAGTAAGACAAGCAAACTATCAAGGGCATTTTGCTTGATCAAAAACTTATTGGTCCAGTTCACCTACCCTTCACAAAGAGAATCATCGTTTACGTTGACATCTTCAGAATTAGAAGAACTACCATCATTTCTTTCAATAACATCAGAATCGACATCATCATGCAAAGGTAAAGATGGTTGAGGGCTGGTACGGGCACATTTTGGACTAGGTTCATCTTGTTCAAGGTCAGATTCATTATCACTATTTCTCAATGGTGAAGTGTGAGGAGAAAGTTCAAAGAGGTCATCATCCTCATGATTAAGGGGCATGGTAACATTAGCATTTCTTAAAGTCCTATTTGCTGCAGCCCAGTTTCTCCTGTACTCCATTACTAAAAATTACAACAAATAATGTCTGGATTAGGGTTATTGTTTGCTTGTTTATCTATCTATTTAATCAATCATGTACACTGGGATATATCCGCACACAAGCTTGTTGAAACAGAGCCAACTTCTGTGTTCATAACTTTACTCAGTCATAAGTCACTTATTAGGGACCTTAAGCAAACAGGACGGCAACGCGACGACGACGGCTATTCACACAATGATATTCTTGATCTCGTACAAAAGAAATGAATAATTAAAAGCCCCACGGGAGTTAGAGACGTTGTGTTAGTGCTTTTTACAACGGCAAACCAGAGATTTTTACGTCTCGTGTACAACGCAAACATGTCAAGACGCGACAAGTAAAACTACAAATTTGCTCAGCAGAAGCGTTTTTAACAATAACGCCTTTGTTTTCATCTCTTCAAACTGAATTCAATTCATATGCAGTGGATAATACATAACAACCCTTCTTCGCAATAATTTATTTGAAGTTTGTTTTGGTTGTCGTCGTCGCGTTCCCGTCATACATGCTTAAGGTCCCTATTAAATCAGTACCAGTAGACATAGTCTATATGAATCATTGCCCAGGGTTTGAGATTAAAATTCTTCTCTACTGCACCCATTATGGATACCAGGACTTCGAACTTGGTATTCAAAGGTAAAAAACTGGTATTCTGTACAAGTGAAATTTTAAGAAAATTTATTTTCTGTAAATGTCAATATGCATTTAGCAATTATTGCTCAAATCTTTCAAAATCAGTAATCTTAAACAGTTGATCATTATGGCTGGAAGTGCATACTGATACAGTAGTGTACCGGTACCTAGATCAGTAAAAAGGGTAAAACTAATAAGAAAATTGTACTCATATTTTGTAATGTAGAATCAGAAGAAATTACTGTAGATCTATCAAATTTGTGCTTCATAGGATACTATACTGTAAGTACTGTGTCTGAATTGAAAGCTTTGCAAAACTGGAGATAAACACATAAATTATAAACATCATTATAACCTCAGATCGAACCAATACTAATTTATCCAGCATTGTTCTAATATATCTAAGAAACCATGTCAAAATTGACAGCACAATCACCTTCATTTTTGAGAAGTGTGAAATCGTCTGTTAGCAAACTGCCAGTTTGCTTGCACATTGCGATACTAGTTACCTAGCAGTGTGCGAAGTTTAAGCAAGTGCTGATAACAGTGTTTACATAATAATTAAGTAAAAAATGCACAGGGAAGATCCTTATGCTACTGTGAAGGTGAATATCATAGAATAGTTAACAGACTATTAATGTACCATACTGTACCCGTACTGTACATGTATTTTAAATTAAAACGAATGATATTT